GCCATTATGGATGCTAATCTGGCCACAGTGATGGCAGAAAGCTCTTGTGAAAATTAGAGGTGGGTATTTAACTATTTCTCAGTAAAAGCTGTAGAATTAATTAATATTTTCCAGGGAGTGTTGGAACACTGAGTATTAAAGACTGATCAGTGACTTTAGTCAATTCACTTTTCTACTAAATTAACTTCCATTACTACTGACTATAGAAATTGTTAAAACTGTTACAGTTACTGCGGATTATTCAGAGTACCGGTAAGTGGTCCACACGAATGACAAATTGCTGTTGAATTTTTAAAATTGAGATTTGTCAGCTTCCTCAAATCAACAGCACATGAAACTGAAAGTATGTGGTTACGTGTAGATACCAGTAATCTTATCATATAGCTGTATTTTTATTTCGGTGAGCTGCACAATAAATACATAAACAGGGTTACAACATGGATAATGTAGCCTCGTCTATATTCTTGATAAACGTTTTTTCTCCTGAAGCACATAAGTACATAATGAAACCCTCCATTGTTCCCTATTCTTGACAAAATGTCAATTCAACCTTAAATGAAGTTCATTCCAACTCGCTTGTCTGCAAAAGTGAAAGATACCTTCTCTTTTCAAACAGGGTCGATCTCAGCTGTTGTGATCTTCCAAAGGCAGCGGCCAAGCTATCATTTTTCCTCTAACGCCACCATGAGTTTGAGTAGCGTTACCTTATATGCAAAGGAAATCACTTCTATTATAATAGATATTTTAGGTATGACAATTAATACACTGATTAATTTTGCCTTCATTACAAGCTCTAGCAACTTTAGGAAACCCTTGAATTTTAATCCAGTGCCATAATCGGGTCATCATTTTACTTGACTGAATACAAAAAACTAGTGACAACAAGTCCCATCAAACTCTGCGGTACTTTGTTTCTTGCTAATGAGCTGGGAAACCTCTCTGGTCTCTAAAGTTTGCCATTGATGCACATCTGTCATTGGAGATAAAGAATAGAAGTTCTTAACACACTCACAAGGCTCCACCTATTTAAACTGGTGGTTTTATTTGCGTACATTACCTGCGTTTTGGAGGTTTTGTGGTTAAGACATTTTTGCTAGGCCAAATTGCAAGGTTGTCTTTAATTGTATGTTATGGTAGATTATTGGATATAAAACAAAAACGGTATTGTCCTTATTCTTGAGAGATTCTCTCTCTGCAGGTCATTCAGTAGAAGATGGTAATTCTTTACTTTGAACTTTATAAAAAAGTTTTTAATCCAGACATCACATCTCCGTAGCGTTCAGTTCCTGCCATTCCTGTTCAATTATTGATTGCCAAAAGCTTCATTGCTGTCTTTCTATTTAAGCTTGAATAGTGCTCAATCACGACATATGTCATCACGACATATGTCATCATACCATCCACTTCAGAATAAATCCATTTGACTCTACACATCCAGCATGTGAGTGTTTATGAAGTATAACACTGATCTGTCTCTGCCTGTTTTACAGCTATCCATAATCCCCATCCTAATCCACTGCCTCTGTGTGCATCAGTGTGTGTGTGTTTGTGTGTGTGTGTGTGTGTGTGTGTGTGTGTGTGTGTGTGTGTGTGTGTGTGTGTGTGTGTGTGTGTGTGTGTTTGAGAGAGTGTGTGTGTGTGCCTGTGTTTGAGAGAGAGAGAGAGAAAGAGAGAGAGAGAGAGAGAGAGAGAGAGAGAGTGGTGTCTCTTCATGTCTGTGTATGTGAGGCATGGTATTTAAGCTTTTGGCTTTCAGAGGGCCTCTCTTTCCCACGGCTTCCACACTATATGTAATACCATAGATAGCCCTCCAGTCATCCACTTTTCTCCATCGAACCACTCAACACAATGGCCTGGACAGAATCACTATGCACTCTGCTTTCAATATCTCCATTACCATTTCCGTCGAAAGAATAAACACAGTGAAAATGGAATGGTTATGGTTGATATTAGTTTTAAAAGAGCTGATGAAATGTGTTCCGCGATGGAGAGAGGCAGAGGGTTGAATAGATGAAGAGAAGTGATTATGCCAGAGCATCTAAAGGATAAAAGAGCAGAACAGCAGATCAAAGTTACTTTGCTCACAAGCTTAATTTTTTGTCCTTCATTTATTTTAATGTTTGCTATTTAGCAAGGATCATTGACTAGCTGTTAGTCTAGAAATGCGAAAATGGCGACTATACGAAAAACCTACATGCATACCAAACACATTTTTTGCTCAATTGTCTAGTGTCCAGCTTTCAACACCATATTTCCAAAGCAGAGTGTTTATTTTATAATTAGTTCTAATTTGTCTCCGGTTTCCAACCTGCGGGCTCAGGATCCTCGAAGTGTTCACTAGATGATTATTAAAAATGAAAAATTGAAAAAATAAGATTTGAAATGAGGAGAGAGACACGCAATAAAGTTACCAAGCTACAGACATCAGAATTATATTGTCAGTTGCTTAAACCCCAGGTCAACAAGATGCACCGTTGAGTTGGTTTTAACAACATGGTACCTCTGATGTTGATATACCAATTGAGCACATTATGAGTAATAGATTGAGAAAGAAGAGAAAGACAGAAAGAAAGAAAGACAGAAAGAAGGGAAGATATTGTATCGAAATAATTGGTTCTTTTATGTGTCTCTGAATTGTGCTTACGATGAATATAGAGAGGAGTAAGAGGTTGCTGAGGGGGACCCTCAGCAATGATAATCCCATTAGCACTTTACTGTTAGGCTCTCCACTAATGACTGATGTGTGTATGTGTGCATATGGGCCAAATGTGTAAGCGCCAACAGTGTGTGTGTGTCCTGCTCGGACCATCCTAATTATCAGACGTGACTCACGTGAGGGTAATTAGAGCCTCTGAGACAATGGGAGCAGGGCTACGAATGACCCAGAAGTCTACAGGCTAATGAAGCGATAACACACACTCTCTTTCTCTCTATGACTCGCACCCACCTCACACAGAGAGAAAGGGACAGAGCGAGGGAAAGAAAATACAGCTCAAAAGACAGAGAGAGGAACAATGTTTCCCTCAGACTACATTAGAGACAGTAGAGAGATTTGGGAGGAGCTGTCAAGAGACGCTCTGTCAGGCGGCTTCAAGCTCAGCCGTCTTCCTAGTATGAACTAATCTGGCTGCTCTCTGTTCTCTGTCATATCTGGCCACAGCTCCACAGCACTGTGGTCCGCTTCCACAGGCGCGGATTAAGGCTCGGCTATCCGAGACTAAATTCTCTATTGAAGAATCATCTAGGTGTAATCCCTGTGTGAAGCCAGCCCTGTATGGTACAGCGCATTATAGTTCACACCATGACTATTATACACAGCAGGCTGCACACTCAGGAGATACAGAAGGACAAGAGGACGGTGGGCTGTGTGCTGGTAGCAGAGCCTCAGGGTTGCTTTAAATTGTTACGTAAAATCATATTGGTTCACTTAAGGTGGGACCCCCAGGAACACATTAACTAATTCAGAGCTCTGATGGAATGTTTTTCACCTTAGTGATTAACATATTTAAATTGTAATACACCCTGTCACATATTTCTTTAATAATCCTGTCTCCTAGTCTTTCATATTTGCATTAACATTTAACATTTGCATTTTCGTCCCTTTCTTATAATGAATCCTCAGGAAGGAAGGAAATAGATCAGAAAAGTGTACCCTAAAAATACGCACACAAAACACAACTAATAAGAAAATATGTATTTAACCAAAACAATACAACATACAGTTTTAACACAACATTAATAAATAAACCTAATCAAAAATTACCAAAGACAAGAAAAACAACAATCCTGCCCCTCAGAAAACAAAATATACATATCATGAGTATTGTGTCTCTTTTCCATCTGTTATGTTGTAAAAATGTCACAGTTTAATGTCATGACAGAATTCTTACGTTACATTATTTGCTGCATTTACTCAATTACAATTGGCCACCAACTTTGACTTTAGAGTAACAGCAATTCCTGGCCTAATGATGTCTCACATAGTACTTCCGCAGAGTTAGGAATCAAGATTTTATATTTGGATTAAAGAGAGAAAAAGTAGAATACCGTTTCAGAATACTACACAAATAATGCCATAAGAGCTCCTAACTTTGGCAGCATGTGCAAGTGACCCCTTAAAACTGAACTTTTTAGCGGCGTAGGTTGTTAAACTGTCTGTTACTTAACAAAAGAAAAGGTAGTAGCAAACTGAACATGAGCCATTTTCTTAAAGCCGCATGGTGCTTGAAATTACACCGTTTTAGAGCCCTGTGCTCTCAAAAGCAGCGGGCATTTCTTTTGTAACAGTTTGAATAAAAGGTCTGTTGACGTGGGAATTTAAGTGATAAGTGACACAAAGTGCTCAACTCGTGGTGCTGGTCTGTGAAACAGAGCAGGTTACCCTCAACCTACGCTCCAGCCATCACAGGAACCCTGTCTCTGTGGCTCCTACGCAGACTGAACATGTTTTTGTATGTGTGGGATTATAAATCTGTGAGCGAGTTATCTTGATCAAATTCCCAATTACACAGACGAGAGTCTCTTCAATGCTGTGCTCTTTGTAGAAATACACAAACAGGCAGGCATAAACATCTCATGAATTCACCCACTCCTGAACACGTAAATAAAAACACGCAGTCACACACAGGCCGGAGGCACCAGACACTTCATTTGCTATTCCACCCCCTCTCCTCATCTTCGGCACCCTCATATTCCACTCTGGCCTCCCCAACATTCAGCCCACAGTCACTATAGCAACCTCACACAGCGCTACTGGCAGCCAGAGGGCTAATCGTGTTGTTACAACATCTGTCAGAAAACAGAGACACTCACACCTTCAAACATTCATACAACTGCTTATACATGCAGCAGCACTTTGGCCCATATGTCCACGCGTCCTCGCAAATAGAGTAAGACCTGAATCTTTACACACTCATGTGTCCAGTGAAACTCAAACAGGCATATATTTAAGGTTACATTTGACTTATAGCTTAGGTAAAAGTTGAAGACGAGTTTCTTACCTTTGCTCATGGTTCATCCTGGAACATGAAGTTTGAAAGTGGGAGCTGAAAAAGGAAAGGACACCATTTTTCATGTAAGTTCTTGATCTATCAACAAAAATATACCATATTGATTTTTCCATAGTTTATCATGGCCAGGAAGAACCATTTGCTTGACAACCTGCCATTGATGACAGATAAATGAAGGGAGACCTACATTGCTGGTAAAATGGGCCAGTAAAGTCTGCTTTAGAAACATGCCTGCTGGGTATGTTGCTCTGCTGCCACCTGTAGGTTAGACCTGGTACTCCACTTTAAAAAGTCTTAGGACAGTGACATTAGAAAATCCATTCAAATCCAACTTTTTAAATGGAGAGGACAAGACGTATGAAATGTGATGTATTTAAGTTATTCAAATAAAGATATTGCTGCACTCAATCGTCGTAAACCTGCAGTGTTCCACATGCTGTCTGATTTAAACTCAATCCCCTCGACAACATCTCACTTCCTTCAGTGTACAGTACATGCAACTCCCAGTTAAGCGAGCCACTTGCCTCAGTATACTCTGTGCATCATCCAAGAATACTTTCAAAGATTTTGATGAAATCTATTTTTTTTTAATTTCTTTTAAGTCTGCAAAGGCTTGCTACAAAAATGAGTCACACAAACTCATCACAAAACTCCAGCCAGCTTCTGAAAAGGAAAGTGCCACTTGGTGCAACACATACAGCCAACGTGCAGCCCCTGCATCTTTTAACAAACCGAAGAGGGTTGAGCGAATGCTTTATATTTAGAATGGTGACGCTATGTGAACTAACATGAGAGGAAAGCTCAGCGATGCGTTGGAGAGCTGCATATTCAATAATGTATCAGAGGCAGCATTTAAAAACAGCTGGGGATCGTCGCTCTGTCTTGTCCTGTCTGCCGGTCTGTCTCTTTGTATGTCTCTCCTCAAATCTGTCCACTGCATATTTGCCACTCTTGTGGGGAGGTGATGTTTGGTTAAACTTCCATCCTCTCGACAGTCTCTTAAGTTCTTCCTGTCCCTCAGGAAAAGTCTTTCTGTGTGCTTTCTTCACTCTCTTTCTCAGAAGCAGGATTCCACCCTCTCTCTTACTCAGTGGACATGGCACAGCCTTTTAACTACATAAATCATACACCATTGTGGCCCAGAACAAATTTGCTTTTGACAGCAGGGGGGAAAGAAGATGTATGTGTGCACATGTGTTTGTTTGAAGGTCATTGTGATTTTCAGTACGTACCTGTTTTAGTGCACAGGTCCACTGTGCTGCTCCATACTTGAGGATTGAAAGAGTAAGAAATCTCCCCAGAATTCTCCTGAAAGAAAGAAGGAGGGATACAGAGAGAGCAAACAGGGATGGGGAAGAGAAGAGGAAAAGTGGGAAACGGATTAGGAGCAGAGCCTTAGCCTTTCAGAACTTAATACTCTTAAAGCCGACCCTGGGTTTCAACTAAGTTCCCTTTGTCTTCTGTTTGAATTTGCCTGTGCATCAGTGTGTCTGTGTGCAATAACTAGAAATGTCAAACTTATCGCTTGACATAAAAACAATTAATGGGCGGTAATTGGTCCAAAAGACAGCCCCAGCTCAACTTCTATATTGGGGGTCTTTAAAGGTTTCTATACCAGCTACATACAAGCCATACGTGCTGTGAGGGGATGAAAAGTCAGAGTAGGAAAAAAGCATTCAACACCTCAGTATGAAAAGTACACACTCCCACAGATCAAGGAGGTTGCATTAGGACACAAGTGTAAATACTAGCACAGAGGTGTGTGAAACGTAAGCAGAGAGAACCTATACACACACACACACACACACACACACACACACACACACACACACACACACACACACACACACACACACACACACACACACACACACACACACAAGGACATGTGGAATTGTTTTTATTTTTTTCCACTTATGAAAAAATGCACACCCGCATTTATGTCCTTCATAAGAGGTGCGCGGGACCCGAACCGGATACAATACCAGGACAGACAGAGAAAAACACACACACACACACACACACACACACACACACACACACACACACACACACACACACACACACACACACACACACACACACACACACACACACACAAATTTCATGATTTGTGACTGCAATGACCCAGAGCTGTCAACCAGAATTCTTTTGCCATCTATGTGCAGCAGCGTGCTCTAAGTCAGAGCAAAATAGAATTTAGCTGGTGGATGAGTCTCAAAGGATCATGTGCACTTGCAGTTATTTTTGTAATGAAATCCATCCCCTGTTGAACTTTGAGGCATTGGACAAATAACGTTCTAAAGTAGTGCTTTAAAATAGCCACCGCAGTATACGGTTTATAAATGTTTGTAAATGTAAAATCCTATCCTTGATTCTTGTTTGTTAGGCCTGATTTACAGTGTAACACACTTTGGATCAAACAAGTTGCAAGCATGATATTTTTCTGAGAAATGGACTGAGATGTTAACAATAGAATGTTGTGATTGTGGAGAGAGAAGCCATAACAAAGAGTCACCACTAGTCTGTGCTGTTAAACCACTCCTGTGTTTGTGCTGCTGACCGACTTACTGAATAAGGGCAGACACGATGATGGCAGAATACATTAACTGCAGCATCTGATGATGTGAAGATCATGAGTTCTTTAATTACAAATGATAACTTATTTCTTTGTAATTGATGGTATGACCCTTGACATCTTAACATGTGTTCAGGTCATAATGGCTTACATCCGACATAATCCCACATAATGAGAAGCCATTTGAAGACGTTGTGTTCCTAACATCAGACATATTTTAGTGCTACCCAGGCATGCACATATGCACACCGTGGCATATGTTTGTGCACTATGTGTGAAAACTAGAGCACACTTTATTTTCAGTGGATGTCACATGCCATGGATTCCTCTCCACTTGCACCATGTTTCGTCTGTAACAATCTGACAATGGCTGGTGAAATCAGTTGGGTGGGGGGTTATTATAAGCATCAGTTACTCTCTATTGTGGGCGCCAGTTTTTCTCTCCATCATGTTGTTTTCCTGTTGGGTTTCAGTGCTCCCTCGTTGGAAACCACCTTGTTAGTGAGAATGTGCTTCACCTGCGCTGGCCCAGCAGAAGTAATTAAAGCCTCGGCAGCCTCGGCAGAGGAAGAGTTTGGAAACTAGATCATTTGGAAAGCTCATGTTGGTGCAAGCAATTTCAGCTTGCAGGTCTTGCACAATAAGCTAGGACAAGTTATGTTTGTCCTATTTTCGGTGGACACGGCATTACTGTAGTCTTCCCTGAATGTGTGGTAAAGTGGCACCCATGGTGGGAGTCTTTCTGCAAGCCCTTTTAGCTGCTTTGAATCTCTGTGAGGACTCCCATGGGAGCCCTTCAGAGCAGGCTTTGAATCCTTTTCATGTTGATAGCTGAAATGACTATTCCGTGGGAGTCAAATGTTGAGTAATTTGAAGGGAATTCAACTCCAGCTGCTCCGTCCGGACATCACCTTAAAGGTTTTTGCCAGTGGCGAACATGATTCAGGGGAAAGCAGCATATTATTTAGGTCACTAAAGTGCTTTAACATCCCCTTTTCTCTCCATGAACCAAACTATTTCTGCACTTATCTGCACAGCAATGGCCCAGATAATTTGTTGATGTCCAACCCTAACCAGGGCAGCTCGGTGGTTTACTTTGGTTAAGCTTCACTCAGCATGTGTGAAACACTCTTCTTAGGTTTCTGTCAAGTGGACTCAACATCAAGGCAAGTGTGTAAGCAGGGCAGCAGAGTGGGCATCGGAGGTCCATCTCATGAGCCCTACTGTAGTGTCATAGCAGGGCAATGCATAACACTGACATTATTACCTACAAATGTTATCGCTAGACACAACCCTCCTCAAGCTGCACCATCACACGTGTTTCAGAATAATTTTTCTCATATTAGTTAGATTCTCTAGAGAAAATATATGCAAAATGTAACTTTGTAAACATGTTTACTCTTTTGAGGTGTGTATGAAGCACCAATCAAAGTCTTAAGAGACTCCAACTCCAAATGTTAAGGAGGTTATTGCAGGTCAAGTTGGCAGCAGAGACCCTCAGATCGACATGACACAATTTTGCGTAAACAACTTGAACTTGTTTACAACTTGTATGTGTGTGTGTGTGTGTCTGACGTTTAAGAGTTTACAGAGAAGGATAGGCAGCCCGCAAAAGGATGATGAAGAATTTCTGGAAGATACATGATGCAGAAATGTCTGCCTAATTCTTACTTAAAAAGCACCTGCTGCACTTGAGCCTCATAAAATAGAAATAGGATTATTATATTTTTGGTCTCTAAGTGCTCATCCACCAACCTGTACGGTATGAGTAATGACAAGATAACTTGGAGACAGAGAAGAGACGCATTGTAGAGATATCACACTTTAATCCTAAACTACATAAATAATTAGCTCCTCTTAAAACCTAATGCAGGATAAGTACAGCTTCGTCTGGCATTCTTGAATCAAGTCAGATTACAATGCTCAATTGTGCATTCATGTCTTGATTCAACAAATGCAGCCCAACTTCTCTGGAGTTAAAAGTTTGACTGAAATATGCCTTTATTGGCACTCTCCAGCAGACATTTATTGAAAGCACACATGGGAAAAATAACAATTAGATATTCATTGTCAGAAATGCACAACTTAAAGGTGGGGTAGGTAATTTTGGAGAAACCAGCTCGAGTGCGCTAGAATTTGAAAATACACAACCGGAACAAATCTGCCACTTCCTTACAGAGCCCCTCCTCCAACACACACGAACGCGCACATGACCAATGAGGGCACGAGATAAGTTTGTGCACAGATGGAAGGCTGAGAGGCAGGTAGGCCATCCAGTTATTTTAGCCGGGCCGGCTAAAATGATTGGTCGTGCTTTTTACAATACTACGGCTTCCACAGATGACATTTTTTAATGGATTTTTTGTCAAAGCACTTAACCCTTGTGTGGTGTTCGGGTCAAATTGACCCGATTTCCATTTTCAATGAATAAAAAAAAAATATAAGGACATTTTCGTTCAACCTGAAACTCAATGGCCGGGGCTTATTGATTGTGAAGGACATGTGGAATTGTTTTTATTTTTTTCCACTTATGAAAAAATGCACACCCACATTTATGTCCTTCATAAGAGGTTCG